TGTTACATTACGCTGGCATGTGTTATTTTTCTGTCTATAAATCATACAATAGCCCAAATATCTCATACAATTAGACTCATTTAAGTAGTTTATTCATAAGTCTTGCCGAATTTTGGTTTGGCTACTACATATTGCCTGTTTGTTAATGTATTTTGATGATTGTTGATAACGATTACTTTGAGATAATGTTGTTCTTGTAAGCATAAATAAACATAAATAAATAAACATATTATCGATATTTTGTTATTAAAACAACTGACTACGAGGTTTTTATTATTTCATTATTATTTTTATTTTTAAAGGTTACATTTAACAGGTACAATAAGAAAAAGTAAGAATGGTTGAAAATTATAGGACTGCCGAATTTAAACATAGGATCAAATGCCAATTATCGTTTGGTCGTCTCATTTTGAAGAGGCAATGAATGTAGCTATAATTACATACATGAAATATATTACATGATAATGCAATTCCATCGTTACTTATATAACTTTATATTTAATTTTGATTGACAAGACTCATCACTAGGTACGACTGCCCGCAGAATCCACGTCAATCCAAGACGAGTCACATGGCAATGGTGAGTTTTCCTAATTTTTCTAGTAGTCAACTGGATTGTAGCCTATTTGAAGCAAACAGATTAAACAACTATAAAGCTACGAGAGCTAAAGAGCTTCTAGAATTCGTATATTCTGATGTTAGTGGACTAATGAGTGACAAATCTTTCGGAGGTTTTCGTTTTTATATTACATTTATCGATGACCATTCACGAAGAGTGAGGTTTTTGAAAAAATAAAGGAGTTTAAGAAAATTGCAGAGACTCAAACCGGAAAGAAGCTGAAGGTGTTGAGGACAGATAATGGAGGCGAATACGTTAATATGAAAGTCGATAAGTTCCTGAGAGAACATGGTATTAAGCGACAACTTACGATTGCATACACATCGGAACAGAACGGTGTTGCTGAGCGAGACAATCGCACTATCGCTGAAAAGGCCGGATCTATACTGCAGGAAGCAGGACTTCCCGTTCAAATTTGGGCGGAGGCGGTAAATACCGCAGTGTATTTGAAGAATAGAAGTCCTACACTGGCAGTTAAAAGATGACACCTGAAAAGGTATGGAGCGGTCGGAGGACAGATCTAGGTCCTCTTAGGGTCGTATTCTAGAACTCTACTCAATGCTCAAGACAGGATTTGAGTATGGTTATAAAATAAGTATAAAGCACTCGAAATCATGCTCAAGTCCCTGCCATTAGGGTCGTATTTCCAGTGCTTGTGTTTCCAGTGCAATCCTGACTTGAGCATTGAGTAGAGTTTTAGAATTAAAATTTAGAATTAGATTATTTGGATGTAAAGCATACACTCACATTTAAAAAACGAACCAAATGGAATCTATTGCGGAGAATCGAAAGGATATAGATTGATTGATCTTGAAACGAGAGAACTTCATAGAGCGCGATGATGATGTTATATTTTTCGAAAACCAAATATATCACGAAGTCACAAAACCAAAAGAGAAAACTGTACCAGCAACCATTACTATAGGAAATGATGATATGCATTACGAGCCGTTACAAAATAGAGAAACGGTTTAGTGAGAGCAGAAAAATTACGAAGAGTATCTTCAATAAAGTGATAGAGATGTTGATGAAGTTACTGAAAGAGTAGATGACGAAGAAGAACAATAGTTATCATCTGAAGATGGAACATATGATTCGGAGACCATATCTAATTCTGTAGTGGTAGAACGGAGATACCCACAGAGAGAAAGACAACGCACTCAGTTTTCTGACTTTATCACTTATCAAGCAATGTCTGAAACAGATGATCCTACGATAGTGCAAGAGGCATTGTCACGAAGGGATGCAAAGCAATGGAGAGAGGCGATTCAGGAGGAGCTGGATTCTTTAAACAAAAATCAAAAGTGGGTTTTAGAAAAGCCTGAGGAAGCAACCAACATTATAGATTGGAAGTGGATATTTATAATCAAAAAGGAAACGGGGAATAAAACCCGTTACAAGGCTCTTTTGGTTGCACGAGGCTTTAGCCAAAGTAGAGGCATTGATTACGATGAGACGTTTGCTCCTGTTGCGAGACATAGCCCGTTAAGAATGCTCATAGCTTTCGCGGCCAACCTGGTTTAAAATAGATCACATGGACATTACAACCGCGTTCTTAAATGGTGATCTAAATGAGAAAGTTTATATGCATCAAAGGAAAGGAAGATCATGTGTGCTTGTTAAAGAAATTTCTTTACGGACTGAAGCAAGCGCCACGTTCCTGGAACCTTAAATTGCATACTGAGAGAGAGAGCCTCAAGTTCAAGCGCAGTAAACAAGAATCCTGTGTATACACAAGGTTTACAGGAAAGGTCTTAATGATATTAGCCGTTTATGTAGATGACATTTTCATTTTTTACAACAATGAGAGGGCGATGCAAAATGTTACGTTAATTCTTATTAAAAACAAAATTCGAAATGAAGGATCTAGGAAAAGCTGAACTATTTCTTGGGATCAAACAAACGGTTGCATTAAAATCAAGCAAAAGAGTTACATTTAAAAGCTTCTTCACACGTTCAAGATGGAAAACTGCAAGGCAGTTAGTACTCCAGCAGCTCCTGGACAACGATTTGAAACAGGAAAAGAGTGTACAAATGAAAACTTATCCAATAGAGAGCTGATACGCTCACTGATGTACACAGCTGCATGTTCAAGGCCAGATATAGCACATGTAGTCATGGGTCAGTTCTGCAATTGTTATGATGAAGTGCACTGGACCGCAGCTAAAAGGATCTTGATATACTTAAAGGGTACCAAGAGCGTGGGACTTGTATACTCTAAAGACGTGTCTTGTAGAAATATTCAAGGTTTTGCAGATGCTGATTACGCTGGAAATATAGTAGACAGAAGATCATATTCCGGCAATGTGTTTAAGATGGCAAATGGAGCCCTTGGCAGAGCATTAAGCAAAGATGTACAGCCTTATTGACAGCTGAAGCTGAGTACATTAGCTTATCAGAAGCTACTAAAGAAACCATATTTCTACAGCGATTTCTGAATGAAATTACGGGCAAGAAGGAGTTACCTATCAAGATACATACAGATAGTCAAACTGCTGTGGCAATAGCCCTAAATCCGGTGCAATATTAGCAAACAAAACATGTTGATTTTTCCTATCATTTTATTAGAGAAGCATTAGAAAAGGATACTATAAAGCTCAAGTATTTAGAAACCAAGTGCATGGTTGCTGATGCTTTAACGAAAGCAAACGTTAAAGCAGTACTTGCCCTTTAACGAAAGGTTAAAGGGCAAGTATGAGTTTTGCCGTATAGAAATGAGTGTGTACTGAGTGTTCATGACTGACAAGGCTTTTTGATAGTATAAGGAAAGCCATGTGTAAATAATTGAGGAGGAATGTCAGAGCATGGATGTACCAAGTTTTATGTACTGGCCGGTGGTCACACCGCCCAGTACATAAAAGATTACACGACGAGGTAACCTCGTAGAACTCGCTTCATATCGGATATATTTTAATAGACATCTTTGTTAAAATATTAAAATCAGTTTTCTCATTTATTGATAGAGCCGGAGGAGCTCTATCACTCCCAACTGAGCTGCGGAACGAACCAAAATGTAAGTTTAATGGAAATAAACAGGTATTTTTTATCATGACACTACAGAACTTTGTGCCAATGTCAAAGTAAAAAAGTAAAGTTAGGAAACGGAAGGGATTGGAAAACCAAAAAAGAAAGGAAAAATTATGAAGAGTTATTATAAAATTGGAATAACATACTAATAACATACTGGCAGGTGTCTTTAGAGGATGGAGAAAAGTATCCCACGGCTATGTGACCTTCCATCCTCTAAGTATGTGACACATGTGTGACACGGAGGCTTAGACTTATTTTTTTTCCGTTCTCGAAGATTTTTTCCATCCTCTTAAGCACGGAGGAAAGTACTTATTTAATTTTTTTTTTCTTTCTTTGCTTTTTGCGATAAGCGTTTCAGCCACTTACAAAGTGTTTTGTCTAAATTCAACTTGTTTTTATAACGATGAAACTTATTTTATCATAGTAATGACATTTGGAAGCGGGATCAGGAAATAGGAACGTGGAGAAAGAGTGAAAAAGGGATCGAGGGAGGGTCTATATAGATACGATATTTCGCTTCATAGAGACATTTTATTTTTAAAAGTAATATTGCATTCAAAGACTGAAAAGTGTTGGTCGAACCGACCAAACTTGAAATAAAAAAACACATGGAATTTTTATGATTATGATGGAAAAGGTCAATTAAGAGGATTATAAATTCCTTTTGAGTAACATACTGGCTTAATATACAGCGTAATGGACTACACTTTCAACAATTGTAATGGCTGATTTTTTAATTTTAATAAAATTTTTGAGAAATGAGGAAAATTTTGAGAGGAGGAGGAAAATACATTATTAAATCTGTGGGATAAAAGCTTAGAGGATGGAAAAAATAAAAGAACGTATTTTGCATTTTTTTTGGCACTTCACCATATAGGATGGAAAACATTTAGCAGTTTGCGTTATGAATAAAACAGGGAAACCCAGTCATTAAAAAACTGTGAAATATAAAATTAAAAAGATGAAAAAGAGAAATTCTTTGAAATACTCGTAATTGACTAAAGTCTAACCCGTTAAATTACAATAATACTTATAAATAAACATTTAAAATATTTATCCGTTGGCTCTAATACTATCTGCAAGGAGCTTTTCGCATTATTTGGCTAAATACCAAACAAAACCGTAAAAATTTTAAAAAGTTACATTGTCTGTTGTAAAATCTCCATAGGGAATGGAAAAAAATCTTAGAGGGCGGAAAAAAATGTAAAATAGAAAACTCATAAAACTGACACTGGCATAAGTCTAGTGGCCGCTAGGAAATAATAATAAAATAGAAAACTCAGCAAAAGCAAGTCAATGAAGGTGTACCAATTCTCGTTGTACAAATTAAGCTTCTTAGTACCGATTTTATGGTACACTGTATACCTTAACATTTTTCGTAGGGAAGAAATGGCTATGTCTGATAACAAAAAAAGATCCGAGACGGTTATTTCGACCAAAAAGAATAAAAATTATAGAATATATTTGAACAACACAGAAAATCCTAAAATAATTTTTTGGAATTTTGACACCAATTATAAATATTCGGTGGAATGCGAAAAAAGTATTTGTGATGTGCACCATACCGAGAGTGTAGAAATGCTGCGACCTGATGGTGAAGGTGCTTACGTATTTTATGCCAGTACTATAGATTTTAATAACTTGCCCCTGCCAAGAAATCCGAAGAAAATGATTTGGGCTTTAATACATGAAGAATCTCCGAAAAATATAGCTGAGTTCACTCATGAAAAGGCGTTGAATTTGTTCAACTTTTCAAGTACGTTTAGCAGACACAGTAACGTACCATTCCCTTTACAGCACATGGGGTCTTTAGAGCACATAACTAATCAAAAGTATTTTGTTAAAACTACAACAAAAAACCAGGCCTTACGAGAATTATCGCCGATATTATACATGCAATCTATTTGCGACAGCTTAACCGAAAGAGACAAATACGTTAAGGAGCTCATGAAATTTCAACATATAGATTCGTATGGCGATTGTTTGAAGAATAAACATTCAACAAAGTATTCAAAGAGAAAGGGTTATGATTACTTAAATAATTTGTGGGAGGAAAATTTGCTTCGATTCATAGCTAGGTATAAATTCGTAATAACAATAGAGAATGGTGTGTGTCACGATTACGTGTCGGAGAAATTTTGGCGAGCAATCCATGTGGGTGTGGTGCCCATATATTTTGGGTCCCCAACAATACGGGACTGGTTGCCAAACGAGAAATCAGCGATACTTCTCGAAGACTACCCGAAGCCAAAATTGCTAAGCCAACACTTAAACAAATTAATGCAGGATGACGACTTGTACGAAGAATACCTAGAACATAAAACAATGGGAAAGATCACTAACAAAAAACTTATCGATGAATTGCGAATAAGACCCTATCAAACAGACCATTTAAAAAATGAACGTAGTTTTATATGTCTTCTATGTAAAAAACTTCACGAAAAAGAAAAAGGAGTTAACATTGTGACGACCAGTCATTATAATTGCCCTAAACCTATATCTGCTCTGTCGCAAAAAGTGGAGTTAAATAATAAATGGACAGGAACATGGGAATATGGGAAATTGAATGCAAAAACTTTGCACGATTTAATTATGCCATCATGAACTAAGGATACGAAAAATTCGGCTTACTCGCAACTCCTGTAAAATTCGCAATGAAAATTTGAGTACAATCAACCTGGATTTTAGATGTGAACCCTTGGACATCGTCAAATTAAATTCAGTAATATGTCAAAAGGCTTAGCACTGTGGCCGCTAAGGGCTAGATATAGTAAAACAGTTTTGTCTAAACTGGTGTGGCCCCGAAGTTATTTCGTTCCTCTGGTACTTGACTTGTAGTACATGGGAGTCCCTATTAGTTTGAGACTAGGTAGGTAATAGGTATGATTGGCTAATACACGAGTATTCAGAATATCGAAGGACAAACGGGATTTCTGATTCCGTCTATTGTTCAAGATGGCCCAGGGAATCAATGGGTTTTTTTAACTTTTCTTTAATTTTCTGTTACTCTTTTTGTCAATTATTACAATTTTGCATTTCAATAATTAGGTGGTTAACATACTTGGTACTTGGTGTAACGGGCTAGTATCCGCAACTCGACGACGAGGCGCCTATTTTGCGTGTGGGTGGTACTTGGTACTTGGTGTAACGGGCTGGTGTCCGCAACTCGACGTCAAGGCGCCTATTTTGGGTGTGGGTGGTTAACATATATTTGCAATTGAAGTAGCAAACCTTAATTAGTTTTTTGCCTATTTCTGTTTTACTTTATTTTATTAAAAGTTAATATTAAGAACTGAATACTGTATTTGTGGGTGGGATTGATTTTAGATTGGTTTAATAAACGTGCTTCACCCGACTAGGGTTAAAATGTCGTTTTATTGTAATTTTTCAAGCTTCAGAGATAACACAACAAGTATACATTTAGAAACTCTATGCTTAGTAACTAAATATTTGTATAACCTTTGTATAACTTGTTATTAGGGCTAGCGTAAAGCGGCGGATGGCAAGGCAGACGACATTAAATTTATAAATATATATTTTATACAATTGTAATTGAAGAATGAAGTGCGCCATAATACTCAAGAGGTCAATCTCAGACATCAATGTATACCTTATTTCAATTAAAATAGCATAAAATAAACATTGATAAATATAATGTCCTCCGCCTTCCCATCCGCTGGCATTGCAAACAAGGCAAGCGCGCTTACGGGGTGATTCGTTTGGCCACAATCTTCTAAGTCTTATCTATCTTATCAATCTTTAAGTAAGACCAAATGACGAGTTTTATAGACCATTTTGGAGTTAGAACCTCAAAATATGACAATCAAAAACAATAAAGGAAAACATGATCATTTTGTACATAAGATACTTTCGGTTGGTATAAGCAAAAATAAAAAGAGGATTAAACTGTAATACTTTAATCAAAATTACGATAAATTATACTTTATGATAAGTATACGTATTACTAGTCATTGTTTATTTTATTTTTGTGATATTATTTCATGAAAATTGTTGTTGCAGCTCACTCAAATCCAAAAAATTCTGGTGACTACTATATTAGCCTACAAATGACGAGACAGGTCCAAGTAGTTCCGTTTCAATGGGAAAACATAATTGTGTAAATTCGTATCTTTACACAAAGTTAATGAATCATTGAGGTTGCAAAGGAATCACATTACAAGATGATGAAGGTTACTTTTTAACCGACTTGAAAAAAGGAGGAGGTTCTCAATTCGACTGTATGTTCTTTTTCTTTTTTTTATGTATGTTACGCGATAACTCCGGTATTTGTGAACCGATTTTCATGATTCTTTTTTTGTTGGAAGGGGGTACTTCCATAGTAGTCCCATTTCATTTTGAACTAAATCATCCACTTCTAAGAGTTGCTGTTCACGCATAAAGATTCATTTTTATTCATTTTTCCCGGTATTTGCGGGATTTGAAGTTTCAAATCCCGCGGGATCCTGGTATTTGCTGCATCTCGAAGAATGCTACGAGAAAAAAGGTCATATTATCAAACTACACGTTTGCGAAGGACTGAAATTCAAAAAAAAAGAAAGAAAGAATAATACCTACCTATTTTGTTTATTGAGATCAACTATAATTTATCATAATAAGGTAAAAAGCATTATTCTGGAAGTAACTGCGCAAATACGTTAAAGTTTCATCCGCTAAACTGATCTTATAAACTAGGCAGCAGCGAAAAAGGCTCGCTTTTCTTCCACTCTGGTAGGAATAACCATCATTAGTGCGTCATAGGCAACCTCAAGGTGTGATAACCCATTTAATTCACATATAAAATAGTTCATTCCTTTCCTTAACTGAACTACAAGGGTAGTACCTCAGAGAGGTTGTTAAATAAATCTACGGGGAATCTTTTGACTTGGTATAAATTTTATATTTTGTCGCTAAATGCACATGTACTCGTAAGCCTTTAACAGAACGTCCTATCGTTATAATTATCGATTTGCTCTAGCTGCACTTCGCTGTGAATTTTCCGCCTTTAAAAAGTACTTCCACATAACTACATCTCTTGCAAGTCTTCACAAACAGTTTCCGACATAAGGGCTATTCGCGATTGAAGTGCGCCGAACAACACATTGTCATGTATTCTGTTCATGCGCTATCCCGCAAATACCGCGGTATACCGGTCAGTTTACGTTCGGGATTAGACCCGCAAAACTGGTACGGGATCCTGGTAGTTCGAGATCCCGGTATCCCAATATTGCATTCCCTAGTATGTAATTATAAAATAAAGGTATAGTCATAGATAATAACAAAATAATAATATTAGACAACATCACATACGTCGCTTTGACCCAAAGTAAGTAATTAAAGCCCCAGTATTATGGAATACGGAAATTTTAGAAAAGTTAGTTTTTTCGACACCATGAAAACCGGTGTGTAAACCACTTGACCACCGAGGTCGTCGAATAATTTTATAGAATATCATATATAATTACTTCAGATAATTATGTTTTTTGTACGTACTCAAACTCAAAAGTTCACATTAATAGAGGCACAATCAAGAGCACGTCAAGCTTGACACTTTGTACTTTGGACAGTTCTTATCGTAAGCGGCATATAGTTGGATTGAAATCTTAAGTGTCAAGCTTGACGTGCTCTTGACCATGTACGAGGTTTACGATTACGAATGTAGCCGACGTAATGCGTTTAATCGCATTGCTAGTCTGAGTGGAAGCAAAACAAGCTACGTCGTTTTCTCTTTTTTTGATCAAGCCGATTTCGCGCTAATAAGCACGGTGACTTCCTTATGCAATTAAATTAATAATTTTTTTTTTATAAAGTAAAAGAATATTTCGAACTTTAATAAATCATCATTAAGATTTTGATAGCGATAACTAATCAATACCACAAGCATCAATAATTTATTGGCTCAGTAATTTTATGACTAAATAAGAAACATGGTGTCTAAGATGTTTGTCTTGTTTTTATTAACACAACTTGTTGTGAGTGTATTATCTGAAGAGCGAACAGTTCAAACTAAAGTTGGAAGAATTAGGGGTACTAAAGCCGACGATGGAGATTATTACCAATTTATGGGAATACCATACGGCAAGGTCGATGACGAAAATCGTTTTGGTGTAAGTAATTAATTGAAGCGCTTTTATTATCTTTTATTTACATGAATAGTGAAATTAAGACAGTGAACAAATACCTCAAAGGCAAACGGGTAAAATACTGTGCCTTGTAGAACATAGACGTTCGATAGATGCTACTTTTTAACCGACGTCAAAAAAGGAGGAGGTTCTGAATTCGACTGTTTTTTTGTATGTATGTTACGCGATAACTCCGGTATTTGTGAACCGATTTTTATGATTATTTTTTTGTTGGAAAGAGGGTACCTCCATAGTGGTCCTATTTAATTTTGAAGAAAAAGATTAATATTTATAAATAGCGCCTAAATTTTATTATAAGGTGCAATTATTTTAATGGTTGATTTTGCTATTCTCTAATTCAAGGCGTTTTTCTCTCGATATACTTAGAGTAGTGAGAACCGATTTCTATTACCTGTGTCAAGTTCCGTATAGTGGCGAACTAGGGGATGAATCTGAGTTTGCGCACTTTCCGGTAACCGATTTCAATAAAACTTGGCAAATAGATGTAATTCCACGTACTTTTGAGGTCGGTTTTTTATTGTGCTCTGTACTGAGATTATTAAGTGCATTTTTGATGTTCCATTGCTGTCACGTCATTTTACTATACCACAAACTTGCTATACAAGGCATCTCACTTTCTTATACTATTATACATTACACTCGAAGGGGGTCCATCCCACCCTTTAATACAACAAAATATATGGAAAATTGTAATATTTTTTCGCGATTTCACGGGGATCCCCAAAGTGACAATTGTTAGTATTAATGAGGAACCACTTCCGTGCTTCGTCCCATCCTCCCTCTGTAACGTAATTAAGTTAACAACTTGTGTAACGATTGGCAATCTGGAATTGAACTTTATTTTCTTGGGTTGAGTGCCTGATGTAAATAATGATCAAAAATCGTTTTAGTATGTTTTGATTCCAGCTTTCATCACCGTATCCTGACTTCGAAGACGTTTTTGAAGCTAACGATGGTTCAATTATGTGTCCCCAAATCGAATTTAGTTCAGGCTCCTTTCAAGGTACATTAGACTGCTTACGTTTGAATATCTACGTACCTGCAACGGCAAATGTAACAAATCCCTTGCCAGTTATGCTTTGGATACATGGAGGAGCATTCATCATTGGAAGTGGTAATAGACCTTTGACTGGTCCCAAATTTCTTGTAAAACATGACGTTATTTTGATCACTATGAATTATAGACTTGGATTTTATGGTTTCATGTGCCTTGATATTCCCCAAGTACCCGGCAATCAAGGATTAAAAGACCTGGTAATGGGTATGACATGGATTAAGAATAATATTGAATATTTTGGCGGTGATAAAAATAAAATTACCGTTTTTGGTGAAAGTGCTGGAGCCATGGCTATTGATCTCCTATTGTTGGCTGATAAAGAAGAATTGTTTCATAATACTATAATTATGAGCGGCACGTCATTGACGACACTAGTGGTGCGTCCACCTGATAATACTGTTCCTATAGTTATAGCAAACAAGCTTGGTTTAAATACAAATAATGTCGACGAAGCTTTATCGTTTCTTAATACTGTAGATCCATTCACAGTTATAGTAGCTGGTTTAGGACTTGAGACAATGCCGTGCAAAGAAAATAAATTTGCTGATGTAAAACGACTCCTTCCTGATTTTCCCATTAATATGAAAGTTCCGAGAGCAAACGGAAGGTCTTTCTTAATGGGCTTCACAAGCGATGAAATGATTTACGAGTTCGCAAATTTATCAGAGGAACAATTTCAACAGTTAGATATTTTTAACGAAACAATAAGTAGAACATTTCACTTTGATAAAATAACGCATAATGATATTGTTAGATTGATAAGGAATTTTTATATCGGTGACAAGGATTTCACACGAGAAGTGAAATTTGATTTGGCCGATTTTGCATCTGATATTCGACATGTTTATCCAACTGAAAGATCTTTGGCGAAAATGCTAGCTAATGGTGCAGAGAAAGTGTATTATTATAAATTCTCGTACGTTGGTGATAGAAATTACATGAGAAGACTACTAAACATTACTGTTGGTGGTGCAGCACATGCAGATGAACTGGGCTACTTTTTTGATATTGATTATCTATCTGAAGCAGGTACTCTTGACGATTTTGCAATGGTAGATAAAGTAACTACACTTTGGACAAACTTTGCGAAATATGGGTAAGCTATCATGCTCACTAACAATTTTTTCTGATACACTTTGATATCAGTATGAAAATAATTACTGCATTCCTTGACACATTTAGTTGTTTAGATATTTTACGCTTTTGCACCGTACAATATTTTTGTTAACAGCCTACTTATTGCATATGTAATGCCTTATGTAAAGACTCGTGACCTCGGCATAATACATCAACTTATTTTACGGAAATTGTGGTTTACGTCAACTTAACATCCTACTCTACATGAACGTCTTATTCAGAGACCCAAATAGATATTGTATCTATAATTTAAATACGTGTGTGTGCATTGAATGAGCACCCTCTGAAGAACGTTTAAAAAATATTAGTCATTTAGTTGTAGATCTAAAACAATTGTAAAAACCAGTCCCTCCATTTGTAGAAAGATAAAACAAAAGATAAATAACTTAATGTGTGCTCACTCAGTTCTCACCGAGGGCCAGTCAGATCTACGAAAGTATTAAATTTGAATGTAATATTCTTATAAATGCAAACTACTTTTCAGTAGTAGTTTTGTTAGTTTTATTTTAATTACAGATTGATTAGTGCGTTTTGAAATTTTTACAAATACTTTCTTCTAATCAATCAACTCCTAAAATCTAGTACAATAATATTACATTCAAATAATTATTAATACAAAGATTGAAAATTCCTTTTTCTGAGTGTTTTTTCTGAGTGTTCAATCTTTGTATTAATAATTATAACAAACTAGTGGAGTAATTTCACAAAAAATAATTGAATATGAATTCAATAAAAATTTAATTATTACATTCAAACTTAATACTTTTGTAAATCTGACTGGCTCTCTGTAAGAACTGAATGAGCACCTTGTGAGCACACATTTATAGTACATTGTATATCAAGGGCAGTAAATAAGAAATGACTACCGAGTCTATTACAAGTTCGGAGCCAAAGGCTGGGGGTTTTAATGACTCGAAGTTTGTAATTTTTTACCGCCCGTGGTACATACAATGTTTTTCATCACAATTGCGAGGAAATAAATGCAATGATGTAACTGAAAATATCCACTTTAATAGTGGTACCGGTAGTGTAATGAAAAAGCCAGTGGGCGTAATTAAGAACATTACGGTCTATAACATGCATATTATCATACTGTTTACGAGCAAGTGTGATGAAGTTATTTATTTTTGTTTTACTTTTTGCAAATAGAAACTTTGCGTTTCTACAATTTTTCTAGAACTACTACTAAACGTCCAATATTTTTTAAAGTAAGTAAAATTTAAACACGCTTATTGTTTCAGTGATCCAACTCCAGAAAAAACTGAACTTCTGCCAATAAAATGGGAACCAGTAATACAGAATTCTCCTCGTTATTACTTGAATATCGATTCAGAGCTGACTCTCGATCAAAGACCTTTCCAAAAAAGACTTGCTTTTTGGGATCTCTTTCTAAAAGCCTATGGAGAGCATGAGTATGGATTTGCTAGAGAAAATAGCGCCTCTTATGTGTCTTCTATATTCCTTTCAGTTATTCCTAGTTTAGTGACTATAATTAATAATTTAGGGTTATAATTTCTGTGCAGTAAAGTGCGTATCAAACTTAACACTTTGAGCAAATCTGACTGATTCGTTGCACAAATGGGCTTCGTGTGAATGAAAGCGAACTTTTGTAAAGATATTGTACATAGCATAATGAACTATATGGTCAATTGCATAACGTACAAACTAGATACGAGCCAAAATCTTCCGCGAAATGCGCGAGCATTCTCGAGCTCATGTACAATATCGTTACAAAAATTCGCTTCCATTCCGTTCCACCGCAATATAAATTGAGCCTAAAGCAATGATCATAAGTGTCAGTTTAATCGGGCACTTAAACGTCTTTACACTTTTTAAACACTTTGATAATATTAATGGATAAATAAAAGCAGTACAGAAGTGTTTAAAAGTACTTAAAACATTTGTAAAATAAAATCAGCAAAGGTTTTGGAATACTATCAAAATCAGATAAAAGCTTTGCTAAAATTGTAAATTAGAGATTGTACCTGTACTCTAAGTACCAGAGCAATGGTATTCAATGCACTCCCCAGAATACCCAGGCTAGTATCAATTTAGAAAAGTTTACTTCCCAAATTGGTCCTACCGGAAATCGCACCTGGGATATCCTCATCCAGCGCCATTAGTCTTCACTGTTGGGCTATGTTGTATAAGAGTGGTATATTATGTCAATAAAAGCTAAAACGCGTATATTTGTTTTTTTTTCCAAACAACCGAACGTTTCAAGCCCTTTACAGGTCCCATGGTCACGGCTGACAAAAAAATGTAATTCCAACTCCAATATGTAACAATCGCGAAGATCTAAGAACTCTATAATTAGGTATTTAAATTTCAATAGAACCTGTCATCGATCACTTCAATAATATATTATCTTCTTCACTTATAACATCCTTGCCTTATATGAAAGAGGAAGTTAAACATCATAATAATTATATGATAATAACATTTATTTTTTACTTTTAAAAGTTATAAGGGATCTCAACAGTATTTTGTTCTTTTAAGTTATGTCAGAAGATCATCTAGTACACTTGAGTAAGATTAATTTTAATTTAAGGAGCAATTTTGTAAGGAACCTAAGTAAATTTTTGTGTAAGGGCCTAAACATAATCCTATAACATGAAATCGAATGCCAATTTCTTTATACAGAATAATATAATACACTGAAATGTGAATTGTTATTTAATTAATGATAGAAACGTACAAATAAATTTAGTTACATACGAGGGCGATACTGAAAGTTTTGAGAACTGGCTACGTTTATTTTTTTTTTGTTGTTGTTGTTTTTTTGTTTGTAGTAAAATTAAAAAATGTGTATAAAGTGTAGCGTGGTGAGCGGAGGGGGAGCGTAAATTGACACGAGGGCAGTGTCTTCACGGTACAAACGACGAATAATGATGTAAGAGCGACTATTTTCGTAAAAGGCGCGAACAAAAAAGCGCGCTGTTATCCCGTGAACTGCTCCATTACGAACGCAGCTATCCATCGATGCAATTCCCCTCTCATCCGTCCCTGCGTCTCTGAGAAAAAGTGATTTGAAAAAAACACGTTACTATAAGCCACCTGTATTAACAAAAAATTCCTTCGATCCGGTTGAATTCGAAACAACGTCTTCTTAGTGGACTAGAATAACAAATATTATCATTATTGCAATACAGTCGCAGTGGATTATCAATAGAATTACAATGATGATTTGAAGGAAATTGATACATTTGGGGCCCAGTCCTCCGGTGTCTGTGTCTCATTCGATCTAGTGGGTTTATTGTTATCAAAATTATTTGTTTGTTACGCTTGCTTTGTCACGTCATAAATACATACACCAATTTTATATTTTATCTACAGATTTTTGCAAAAGTCAACTTATCAGTAATTTACGGTAGGATTTAAATTGAGACACACATATATATATTACATAGCGGTAGACTATGAACTTCCTTTGGAACAAAACATAAAATTCGAAACTTTTGTGTAATAAGGCCATTTCCGCGAAATGACAACTTTCCAGGACAGAGATTAAGCCTGGTTTCAGATCAGTATGGATTTATCTGCGGACCGTCCGCGCAAGAAGGGTAAGAATATCGTTTTATAGTGACGCGGCTTGCTCTGTACGGAACATGCTCCACGTGAGCTCCGCACAGCCCGTGCGTTCATTGTAGGCTACTGTCTTCCGTGAATATTCGCATTAAATCAAATACTCGATTCAAAGGAGTGCGGATTTATCTGCGGACTGTCCGCGCGGAGCACCGGAGGGGAGTAACACGTGTGGTGGCGTAATAACATCGTTTTACAGTGACTCGGATTGCTCTGTACGGAACACGCTCCGATTGTACTCCGCACGGCCCATGCGTTCATTGTAGGCGACTGTCTTCCGTGAATATTCGCACTAAATTAAATACTCGATTCAGAGCATTGCGGATTTTACGAATGCGGAAGGCCCGCTGGCTGACAGTTTATACGGACCATACGCATAGCTGTGAAACCAACCTTGAAGTTTGCTGCTCAAATCTTTGGATTTAAAGTTGTGAGTGGCACTGTAACTGTTATGGATAGGCGTGTAGCTTACCATCAGGCGCACGACTTGTTCGGCCCGTCACTAGATATAATAAAAAAAAATTAAATAACCTTTTATACAATATAATTATGTACAAATTTTCAAAACCAACAACTCAATTAACTAAACTATATTCCAATAATACTATGCTAGTAGGAAACGAGTATAACTATACTGCATTATTACAATAATATAACTAAGATCACGAAAAGCAATGAAATAATAGAAAACATAATAATATAACTTTTAAAAATACATTATTTCATCATACATCGCCTCTGACTCCCTCTTGGAAATTTCCCACAGTAATTGCCAGGTAATATCAGAATCCGCGAGAATTGGCTTAGGCTTTGGACAATTGTAATGACTTTTGGACACCACCTGAATACTTTTATCTTTCTGGTAAAGTTTCTTACAAATAAAACATAAAAATTTCCTATCTTTCTCAAAGGCATTCGTCTGATAAGGCCTTGCTTCAATTTCTTCAATAATTCTTTGGTTAGAAATCAAGGCTTTTGTCTTGTGCTGAAGATATTCTTCGTACAAATCGTCGTCTCGCATTAATGTGTTAATACGTGCGCTTAGTCGTTGTGGCGACGGAAAATCATCGAGAATCAAAGCTGATTTGTTGTTTGGCAGCCAGTCCCTTATCGTAGGAGCACCAAAGTAGATAGGCACTACACCCACGTGGATCGCTCGCCAGAATTTCTCAGTTATATAATCGTCACAAACCCCATTTTCTATTGTGAGCACGAATTTGTATCTAGCCATAAATTTAAGAAAATTTTCTGCGTATAAATTGTTTAAGTAATTACTGTTTATTTCTTTTAAATGATTTGGTATGGGTTTGTTATTTAAACAAGCGCCGTAGGAATCTATTCGCTGATATTTCATCAGCTCTTTAACGTACTCATCTCTCTCTGTTGGGGCAACGCAACTGGTCTGTATGTATATAATTGGTGCTATTTCTTTCAGCGCACGATTTTTTGCTTTAGTTCTAACGAAATACTTTGTGCTGGTTATTAGTCTTAAAGACATCATATCATGCAAAGGATATGGCACGTCACTGTACCTGCTGAATGTGCTGGAGTAATTAAAAAGGCTTAAAGCTCTTTCATGCATGAAATATAATACGTTTTTTGGAGACTCTTCATGTTGAAAAGCCCAAATTACCTTCTGAGGATTTCTTGGTAATGGCATATTGGCGAAATTGGTATAACTTGCGTAAAATAAATAAGCACCTTCGCTGTTCCGTGGTAACATAAGCTTTTGGTTCGTCCAATAAACGTCACATAATTCTTCGCATTTTATGGAACTAAATAGATCTTTGGTTAAATTAACATTTGTCCAATGTATTATAGTAGGGTGACTGGTGTAATTTAAATACCTTCTTTGTTTTCCAGTCTTTTGCTTCAAATTGGGTTTTTCTTGGTTTTCGGTAAGAGGCGGGTCAGATTGTGAATTCCATAATATTAGCGTCACATATAACATTATAATTATGAAACATAATTCAACAAATGTAATGTCGAATGTCCTGCTAATAATGTTTCGAAGGGATTTTCTGTTTTTCATTTTCAGTAAACACATCTTTATTAGCTATGCTTCTTGAATCAAATCAAAATGCTGATTAGATTTATTAGTATTACTTATTTGTATTTATTTCGTTTGTTATAATTATTTTTCTATAGCAGAGTTTTTGTGTCTATACGTAGTTTCAGTGTATACTCATTCTTTGTTTACGTATATAAGATCATTGTATTGTATATACTTTTCCATCCTTCAACTCCAGTCTAGTCTATATGTATGATCTATGCTTCAACTGTTATGGATAGACGTGCAGCTTACCATCAGGCGTACCCGTCACTTGATATTATAAAAGAAAAAAAAAGATAAATAATACCTACTTTGTTTTTCTTTCAAACACCATTGGTATGATCGTAGCAAAAAAAAGTAAAAGACAATAACTTTATACTTTTTTTCATGGCGTTCTGTAATTTTTTTTTCCATCCTCTAAGCTTTTGCCTCGTAGACGGAGAAAATATCTACGTTTTGCCTGTAATCTTCATCTTCGACTTCAATCTATTATCGTTAAGAACATGTATAGAAGCGGACTAACGCTTAGATGGCCATCTAGAACACGTGCTTAAAACAATTACAATTTTTTTCAAAGAGTAGGTATCAGTGACCGTGGACAGACGCGACAACCTATACCTATTGGGAATAATCCATAGTAAAAATCACAATTAGACGTCCAAAATGTAAATAAAGGGGATAACCGAGCAAGAAAATACATTTTAAATTATAGGGATCCTATTTTTGCCAATAATAACCGTTAAGAACTCTTTTCAAAATGTAATCTTACCAAAATTTAGAATAATTCACATTTTGCAATATTATTATTATTATACTCTATATAGCTCGATTACCACTGACTGACTGACTGACTGATGTAGTCATTTAGATAATTGTTCTCCCCATAGATTTTGGTTCTCCCCATAGATTTAGTATTATAGTTCTCCCAGAAGCTAAAGTATAATACCTACCGAAAGGGTTGTCTACATTGACTTACAAATAAAGTCAAAATAGGCGCCTTGACGTCGAATTGCGGATACCAGCCCGTTACACCAAGTACCAAGTACC